CACGCACGAGATTACTGTGTGGTGGATGTCCTCCCCTGGGGTGGGATGGGTGGGTTTACTGGGCTGGCAGTAATTGGCGCAAGGTGTTGCGGTGTCCCTGCCTGCCGGCGAATCTAATAAAAAATATATATATTAATGAGGAAAAACTGAATAAATTAGAAAGTGATATTTAATCCTGAAACAAAACATTTACAAATCATTTTGAAAAAGATATGGTCCACATCTTTACTGTCCTACATGAATACCTCCACACATGTGTATTAACAAGTTTCTACTTTGGCCTAAAGTGTTGAAGTAAGTCAATATTCTCTTCTCAAAGAAGAATATCGCCTTTACTTCACTTTTCAGTGCTGTAGTTTTAGAAAGAATATGGCTACAGATCTTGATCATGACAAATAAATATTCATGAAAAAATTGGGACCAAAGAAAATGTCCGGACAATCAACAAATCCGGATAAGTGAGGTCCAGTTTACCGAGGTTCGACTGTAATGACTTATTTGTTATTGAATACAATTCTTGACAAGTTTGTTTTATAACAAAGCTAGTTGTTTACTTCTGGACTATCAACCATTGTTTTTCAAATGATCATCTATTTAACATAATGTAAAGAATTTTTAGTAGTCTAGTGCTGCAGGATGGTAGTCTAGGTGTAGAAGATTTGTACTTAATACAACATGCTCTCAGTAAACTTTCTGGTCAACAATTTCAATTGCATTTCTCTTGTGCCAGTCCTTCACAGTCTAAAAGTGGTTTCTATGGAATTGCCTCCCAAATGAAGCTTTTGGTAGACACTCCAGAGAAGGTACAGCTTGGTTTAAATATTTTACAATTATGTCATTCTGGAATAGAGTACACTTCATGCAATATTTGAAATTCATCTTATCTTCGGGCCAAACTTTGGGGTATAGTTGCTCTTTTTACTCTCACCAGTCTCTAATCCTAATTTGTTGATGTCTTACAAACATTTCAAATAGGTTTGGAGTGCATTGGAGAAAAAACAGTACCTAAAAGCAGCTCAGTTGTATCTTTTCTCTCGTCACATTGTCAGCCTCCTTCATATTGATACTGGAGATTCCTCTGCACCTAAATTACTGGTGCGTACAGTGTAATTTTTGTGTTCTTTTTTTATTGTTGCAGTGCCACTGTTCATTTCTTATACACACAATTAAAGGGAACATTACCTACACAATAATGAATTGAACTCTCATGGTTATCCTTTTCACTCCCAATTCTTCACACCATACTTTCTGCCAAATGTTTCTTTTGTCTTTTCGGTATGAAACCAAACAATATCTCCTGATCATTATTTTCTTTCCTCCTATAACCTTTCTGATTGGAAATGCATGGATAATGTTGAGAGAAAATCGTACTTGGTCGCTACTGGTAGTGGAAGGGTCAACTGAGTATAAGGAGGTAAAAAACCATCCCTTTTTAATTACGTTTCAGTTTTCAATTAATTGTTCCTTTTCAATGTTCCTTCAGTCTTCATTCCCAATCTTGCCAAAACAATGGGCAGCAATCAGTCACTTCAAGGACTCCATACTTCAGGTATTAACAGGAATTTTTCTTCTTTTTTTATGGATATTTCTTTTAATTTGTCTGACAATTAAGGTATGTGTATGTTGATATTTTAGATGTAATTTAGGTCTTTATCTTTTTATTAGCCAGTCTCATTTGTTTTCTCCTCTGCCATTGGAACTACACTGTAGTCATTAGACAGAGGAAAATACCAATCAAACTAGTTTTAAATCATTTTACATGTAATGTGGAATCAGTTTGAATTCCAACATGTATCTTTAATTTGTTTTATGAAGCATATAAGTCTTTATTCCCCGTCGGTAGTAAACTTTGTGCTCTAAATTCCAACTCAGTAGTACTGAATATTATACAATCAAAGGTTGAGTGTTTAGAGACAGGATTTTACAGGTGGTTGGTCTTTTGGCAAACTTATTGCTTTTTCCGTCAACCTTGTGATTTCAGAGAAAACCAACACAGATTCAAATGTCCAGTTTACATATCTTTACAGTTCTTTCTGGTACATTATTCCCCATAGTTCAAAAACTGTTTTGAGTTTTACTATCTGGGAAGAAAAACAAACTAAAAAAAAAAAGCTATCCCTACCGCTGAAATTGTTGTAATTACTGGTTCCCTTTTTTTTTTATACAATTAATATTTAGCCATTTTGATTATAGGGAAGCCATGGTTTGTTAAAGGATGCTGCTCAAACTGAGGAGGTGAGACATAATGCATTAATTTTATGGATCATTTTCAGAATAATTCTTAACCCCACCCCCATCATTTACAATTTACATGTTACTGTTCCTCAGATGCTTGCAGAGTCATTGTGTGCAATCCTTCTTTTAGAGGAGAGCTCACCTCGTCAAGTCTTAAGTGAGTTTATCTTGGCAAGAAAAGCAACATTACAAGAAATCTTTCATCCGTATCAACATGGTACGTAGTGCCTACCTCTTTTTGTTGGCATTCTTAACAGTGTTAAGCTTCACTTGGAGTCACAGTGACAGCATCCTATCCACCCAGGCCCAGTTGTTTGAAGAATAGATAACAGCAATCAACAGATAAATAGCTATCCAGCAGATTAAGTGTTAAGGAAGCATGCTGTGCTATTCACCAGAAAAATCAAAGAATAGATAGAAGTTGTGACAACACAGGGACACCAAAGTCCCACAGGGACACCAAAGTCCCACAGGGACACCAAAGTCCCACAGGGACACCAAAGTCCCACAGGGACACCAAAGTCCCACAGGGACACCAAAGTCCCACAGGGACACCAAAGTCCCACAGGAACCCCAAAGTCCCAAGGGACACCAAAGTCCCACAGGAACCCATTTTGACTTCAACTCCTAACAACCAGCTCTTTCTTCTCAGCCACCAGCATCAAGTCCCAGGTTTGTGAAGTTGTTCAAGTGATTAAAAGAAGTCTTTACCAAATCCACACCCTGTTCTGTGGTGATGAAGAAGATGAACAAAAGGAATTAAAAGGTCAGTTATTTTTTACTGTTGGTTTTATGTATCATGCTCACAAAATAATATTTGAAGTGAGAGACAATTTGTATGAATTTTAGCTGGATTGTTTTTTGGATGGTGTACAAAATGTCAATTTGTAAATGATTGAGAAGAACTAAGAACAAGTTATATTGATTCATTTTTTTCCAGATAATCCAGCTCTTGTTTTCAAAACCCTTGCAAACGTAATGAAAAGAGACTCTTCCCCAAACAGTGATGAGGAAGGTTAGTTTAACATAAAGTTCTGGTAGGAGTTGTTATGTTAAGTTAAGGAAACAGTGTTTCAAGAGAATTTTATACGAGTCACGGAGTTAGTTTACCATACCAGTATGAAATAGAGTCCTGCCCTCTGTTTCTTGTTTTGTTCTTTTTACAGCCTTGGAGGCATTATTTGGTCCAGACTTTGACTTAGTAACCAGTGCAAGATTCCTTCCCAAGAGTGTATTAGGTGTGTGTAATAATCTCTACTGAATATCTTATGGTCAGAGTGTATTAGGTGTGTGTAATAATCTCTACTGAATATCTTATGGTCAGAGTGTATTAGGTGTGTCTAATAATCTCTACTGAATATCTTATGGTCAGAGTGTATTAGGTGTGTGTAATAATCTCTACTGAATATCTTATGGTCAGAGNACATAGCTCTACTACACTTTACTGACATCTCCTGTACACTGTGAATTTAATTACTGTGTCCAGCTGTTACCTGGTTGTCTTTTTTTTTTTTACCTTATTGTAGGATACAGACCACATGTGAGAGTGTTTCCATCCTTAATATCCAAAAAGAATATTCAACAAAACTGTGCCGAATGGATTTCAATGTGAGTTTATTCCATTTATTGTAGTCAAACGTTTAATCGATTTCACGAAATGCACGATATAAGCGAAAAGCGATACCAAGAGAGCGGTAGAAACGTTGTACGACTAGGACGGCTAGGAACACGAAAATCATAAACGGAGAAGACGGTAAGCGAACTGGATAAATGAAACGTAGTGATGGAAAAACACAAGTCGACTAAAAAAAAAAACGCATGCAAAAGGGCCTTAACGAGACGAAATTATGCGAAAACACCTAACAGAATATTGATTACGTAAAAGCGAAAAAAAAAACAAAGAATGCGATAATGAGAGAAAAAAAAAATTGCGCGTACAAACGAGAAAAGAAACAAAAGAAACAAATACAGCCATGCGGCGGTAACACCATTTCTAGGTTGTACTTGTGTAATAGATAAAGATACATTCAAAACATAACTTAGGTATAAGTAACAAAATGCAAAACCGTAAAAGGCTGTGAATGAACTCATATTTGTGAAGAAACTCTGCAAAAGACTATTAAGACAATCCAAGATGGAGGTGATCTTTAAGTGAACATCCTTAACCATATTTAAGAATTCGCACCGCATCATTCAATTAAATTTATTCTTGTTTTTCTCGTCACCATGTTTCTACTAATAGTGTAGCTTCATTTTACACACAACCCACAATTCATCCATTCGCTCTGAGGTAGGGCTATCGCTCGAAACATCAGCTTTAAAACTCTTAACGGTGGCCAATTTACATTATCAACTCAGTTATCTCGTAAGACCCCCCCTCCCCACCGACGCAGCACCACAGTTTCTTTAAAAAACCTGCCGGTACCCACTTTAGTCATAAGGCGTGATTGCTTTTAGTCTTGCATCTGATAGCATCTGATTTTCAACCGTTTCGTTTATATTATCAACTCAGTTGATAAAACCAAACTATCCAATCACGACATAGTTGGTTGTTTTCTCGCGCTTTGGTCAATTGGCTCAGTTTTACTTGCGTTCTGATATTATCTTTTTTCTGATTGGCTGTTGAGATTACTTTAGTTTTGGTTTTACGACAAAGCAATTTTTTAAAAAGGAATGGTTTACCCTACTATTCAAAGAGAAAAACTTGTGTCTTTTTATACCCCCTCTCTGTCTGGGTGGTAGTTCTCGAAAAGGAATCTCTCTAGAACCACACTTTTAGTGGAGAAATAAGTGTAATTTGAGAGGGATTCCTTTTTCCAGCCGTCACTGCTATTCTTTCGTACAGCATGAATTATCATGGGCGAATAAACTAATGCGCGGGTTTGTTCTTGGAACCGGCAACTAATTTATGTTAGGTGTATCAAGGATGTAACAGCTGCAGTGAGTAATCTCCTGAAATACGTGGGCAGTCTCAAAGGCCTGGCCTCTTTACGAGATGCAGTGTGGGACCTACTGAAGCAGGTATTGTGGATATTCAGATCATTATAATAGTTAAATGAGGGATACAAACCCGGAGTTGTATAAGTGGTTGTCGAGACCAGCAACTTAATCATTTTATGGGAAACTCCTCCTTCTCAACTTGAGTTGCATTGTCGTCCATACTTGATCCGCTACTGGGTAAAAGAAAATTACACGATTGAGGGTGGCAGCTCGAGCAGTATTTGAATGGAAGTCGTTTCTGCCTCATTTTGGCTTCTCTGTTTGTCTGCAGTTTCAGGTTTTCTTAACGCTGTCAGTGAAATTATGGACTATGTTGCCCCAGCGTTAACCGACGTTTATTGATCATTGTAATCTCACGTTAAGAGTTCCCATAATTTACTCTATTCTCAAATCCATGGTTTTTGAGAAAACCTGTTCAGTGGGATCATTGAGCATATATGATTAAAGTTTCAATTACGATTCGACGCCATGTCTGTTTGAGATGAAGTAAAGAGCGCCGGTTAGACGTAAATGAACTTATAAAGAGAGAAGGTATTCCGTAGTTCTCTTATAACGCAAAGGATGACTTTGTAGCTGGTTGCTGAATACGCGTCCCAATGTGTCTTTCTCTGTTGAATTATTCTTCAGACCAGCACTGCCTCAGGAGACTGCACCCTTGCCTGGTCAACTCTTTGTAATAATGTATTAGGACGTGATTTATCCATATGGAACGAGTTTCTTCAAAGACCATTCCTCTCTAGAGCTCAGGTATGAAGTACTTGTATCGTCCTCTCCATCAGTTGTAATAAAAAACAAACAAACAAACGTTTTCTAGGGCACCTGTGCGCACGTGTGTTTCAGAGCAGAAAGGAAATAAAGATGAAAAGAAATTTGAAGTAGAGGAAAAGTGAAATAGATAGAAGAGAAGGGAACCGAGGAAACTATTTTTCTCACAGCTAAAAGAGCACAATTAGTCCCTTGATTTTTGTCTTGACATGAAAGTCTGTTTCTACGAAGATGGATGGAAAGTTCTCCGTGTAACTGGTCAGAGCTTCCCATCTTCTCTCACCACAAGAGACTGACTGTTGTACGATAAACTAGGCTGGAATTTAGATATTTTCCGTACCACCGGAAAACTACTTCCTTTAATATTTTCTTTTCTGTCTGGACCTCAACATTTTATTAAATAATATCTGTCTCATATTGTAGGATATTTTGCGAAGTCTATTCGATGCCACTATGTCATCATGTAAGAACATGATTACCAACACACTAGATGAGATTTCTTATCATAACGCCACTAACACTGACCTCAACGTACTCTGGGAAAGGGACATAGCCATGTATGTTTGGCAGGAGTGTCCAAGTGATGTCCCTAGAACATTTTGGCGGGGAACACAGATAAACACTGCTGCAAATAACGAACAAGAAAGTGGACTTGCCCTGAAGGCACGAGTCTGCACTCCTGCTGTACAAAGGTAACATAATGCGGGCTTTGTGCACCCACGTTATGCCAAATGGTTACCGGTTGGTCAGTGCGACTGGTCATTGTTTGAGTTAATCTGCTTGAAATGTTATTAAACTGTTATCAAGATGTTAAATAGTCAAACGGCAAATTATACAATTTTCATCACTGAGTATCGCGAACAGGCTGAAACGGTAATGAGACAAGCGCTTGTCCATAAACATGAAGTCGCAAGACCGGTATTTTTCGGAATTGGATGAATGGTCTTCAGAATAGGGAAATGAACGATACTTATGATTCATTCGGGGCAAAATGAACAGATTCAGTATGGCATGGTTCCACTTTGAATTGATCTGAATATTTACAGAACAGAAGATCTTCTCCATTCATTGTGCAGTATGTGACATTGTACAGTATGTTACAATCGTATGACGATGACTTGTCTTCTTTTGCAGATTATGTAAAGCAGTGGATGAGAAGTTAGCGGCAATTCTTGAAGACGCTCAACACTTCATATCAGATGCGCAAAAAGCCCAAGGTTCCGACTTGACCAAGAGAACTTCAGTTAGTAAAGCGTTCGAGTTGTCGTTGCTTAACAAAAACAAGACATCTGACGAAACAGAACCATTCGATCGCTTTGGCACCGCAAGTGAAATCCAGTCTTTTCTCCGTGAAACTTGCTTTTCTGCTTTTAGCCAGTAAGTGAGATATCTATTAAAAGTTCTTCTTAATCGTGAACAGTGCTTCAGTAGGATATCAGTTGAACGTTGTGAAGGCATCATGTATTGGAGGGGAGGGGGGCCCGTAGAATTTTCTTACCTTATATCTCTGACGATAAGAGATAGAGTAGCTGCTCTTGTGAGTGAAAATGCTGTACCGGAACTGTATTGGAATAGCTTAAGAGAAGCGGTTTGTGCGCGCGCCAAAGCGGAGTCCAATACCTCCATTGATTTCCTCCAACTTTATGTACCACACGTGTGCACAACTGCGCGTTTGCCCATGACAGAGAAAGTAATTTAACAGAATAACTCAAGTAGTTTATTGATTTAAGAGTTCCTTAGGCAAATCAACTTGGTGTTAGGTGTCAAAAATCTCAGTTTGAATTGGGAGCTGGTACAGGCAGTAGTCCACACTTTTCTCAGTTTTGTGGTGATATGAAGATATCGGTGTCTTTTTTGTCAGTGTTTGCTTTCAAGCTCTGATGACAAACAAAGTGAAATTATCAGTTTGTTATGGTTAGGTATTGTGGATGCGGTTTGGTGTACCTTATTTTTCATTGTCTTCTCAATATTTTCACCACTTCGTTGAGAATGAAATCGTCCAAAAGTGCACCTCTCGTGTGCACCTTGAGTACCAAGTTTAGTTCTTTCTTTTTACTCTCTAGGTTATTGCAATCTATTGATGACATCGTAACCAGTCTTGCAAACAAATTGAAGTTAGAATCAGAGGAAGTGTTTACGATGAGATCCGAATCATTGTTTGACACAGTGTGTATTGACAGGTAATGATCCCATGTTTAGTTCACCATAGATTACTTTACCACGCCCTTCAAAAACATGCAGCGCGATCGAGGCCAGAGTGAAACGCTTCTCCATGAAGCATCTACAACTCAATGGCTCGTATACTATCCAAAAGTACATTTGGTACATCGTGTAGCCATTGTCTTTCCAAAGTTACTATGAGGAACAACTGTTCACCGAAGTGAAGTTGATATTTACCGAGCCGCGAAGTGGCGAGAAAATTATCCTCCGCTAGCCACGGACATTGAGGCGAATACTTCTATTAGAAATACCAAAACAGTGAGATTATACGGAACAAAGAGATGATTTTAACTCATTTATTCCTGCAACGATTACAATATTTTCGGGCGCAAATCCGGGGGGGAGGCTCGGAGGTGAATAGCCAAGAATATTAGGTGTTTGAGTAGCCAATCAGTGTGCACCTTTAATGCTCTCCACTGTTTTAATATATACAAACTAACAAAACCGCAAATGTTCTTATTGACATAGTGTTCCGTAGGAAAACGTTTATAGTAATTACTCGTGTTTTACGCTTTGTTTGTGAAACTGTTGGCGCACATTTTTGACACGTAGGTGTTTTTCTATGCGTTTGCTAATCCAAAGCAATTATATTCTCTCAGTTGAAATCAGCTTTTGTTGTTTATAGAGTTCTGTTCCTTGGTCGACTGTGTCACTCTTTCACTGAACAGTGCGGTAATCTTAAACTGGTCATGGAGGGACAAGAAACAGAGACAAAAGGTCGAGCAACTCTTAGGTCAGTGTCGGTTTACTTGATTGTGGCTTCAGTGTCTTTCAAGACTACTAGGCTTAAATATCTGTCGTTCGTGTAGCAACTGCCCCCGCTTTGGAAGTTGTGGAAAGGAGATGTCTTTGACAGTGAATTGACATTCAACTGGAAAAGCTACTGTGTTGTCGCTTGCTTTTTCCAAGGCATCCAGGCCTGAAGGCCCAGACCTCCTCTCGTTCCTTCCAGCCGACTCAAACTTTTTTTAAACATAGCTTAAAGGAAGTTGTCACTTAAAGGGAACCGTCACGTTTTTAAATTACCGAAAAAAGGCAGGAAATCATTAGATAGTCTGTGAGATCATTAGATAGCATCAGAAAAGAGCATCGGATTTTTGTTTTGATTTTTTTTGTTACCCACGCAAAGCTAAATGATTCTATTATGGGTGAGCTGTTGGGTTCTATAATATATAATATATAATATATAAACCCCATCGAAAAAAATGAAGGGGGGTAAGTTTCTAGAGAAACCATGGTGTCACGTCCAACAGGAAGTTAAAATGTTTCTATCAGTAGCGTAGCTGCATCTTTCTGTGCGTAACCACGCAACCCACATTTCCTCCATTCGGAACGCTTGGCATTATTTTCTTGTCTCATTAGCTTTAGGGGCCGACTATTTAACTTTTGAGGGGGGGTGGGTGGGTGATTTCTGGTCATCGAGAAATTTTTTTCTGGCAATCTGCTGGGCAAGATATTTTTTCCGTTCCAAATGCTGTTTTTTTCTGTTACATTTGGGCTGCATGCTATTTTTTTCTTCCAAAATGCGCTTGCAGGAATTTTTTTTTCAAAATCACCCACCCCCCCCTCAAGGGTTAAATGGTCGGCCCCTTAGTGGGGATTCTTCAGTGCTTATCTTAGGTCATTCTTTTGTTAAGCGATTAAATCGAGATCTAATGGCAGGTTTTGACCGAAGGGCACGGATAGATTTCCATCTTCGGGGCACAGCGTCGGTTCGCTTGCATGGTGTGGGTGGCCAGACTATCGACAAACTATTAAAAGTCTTTTGATCTCCATGTAGTTCGGGACTTATCTCCCGATATTGCTATCTTAGAAACTGGGTCTTACGACCTTTCTTCTTCTAAACCCGAAGTGGTGGGTTCTGCTATCGAGGATTTAGTTGTTTTG